CGTTTGTGATTGTGAAGTCAGTGGAAACTCGGTTGTCATGGGAATCGAAATTGTTGGGCTGCCCGCCTTTTGTGTACCAAAAGCGGCAGAAGATTTACCTCTTATCGGAACCTGAATTTTTGAAAGGTATGAACGCTCAGACAATCGGCCTGGTGGTGTTATATCCAATTTTCCTAGTGAGGTAGAAAGTTGCGACTTCGATGCTTCAGGCACATTCGCTTCGAAGTTCTCTACTTCTGGGAACGTCATGTTTTGGGCAGTTTCAGTTTCAGCATTGTAACTTTCGAAGTAATCAACCTCAAAGTTGGACGAATTGTTACTTGCTTTTCGTGAAAGTTGTTTTGTACTGCGCGGAAAACCCTTATACTTGTTAAGGGGATCAAGAGACGATGGGGGACTGTAGATGTCTGGTGATAGCCGAGATTCTTCGGACTCTCCAGATTCTTCATCATACTCCGAAGATGGCTCCTTCCACTTCACAAGATTCCCGGAAGATTTTCGGTATTCTTGTTTGTATCGACATTCCCAGGACTGACATGTACCATCGTAGCTATTGCGGTTTTCATGTTCGTGCTCTTCTACAAAAGGCTCAGAGCTTAGTGCTAAACTTTCCTTAGGAACCGCATTCTTTGAGGTTACTGCTGGGTCTCTAATCTTCAAAATATCGCTCTTTGGAGGAGGTACATACACCGTAGGATACAGCATCTCTTGCTCTTTGAGTTCAGGCAGTTTCGTGTCATAGCTGTCCAAGATCGAGAATTTGCTTGCCTTGATGTTTTCAACACAGTCAGTCGTGTGCGCATGATATCCATTCTCAACCTGAGAGTCGTCTGTGATGTTGTGGCTATCTCCATATATAAGATGAGCTGACTGTGGCACTTCATCGGCTCCTGAAACGGAAAACGTATTGGATACTTCATTTTCCGCGCTCTCGATAGGGTCTGGAGTGTCCCACTTATAGTCAAGCCCGCCATCGAAGAAATCGCTGGGACTGGCTGGAAGACTATAGTAGGTACTCAAGTAAGAACGGAGTGGGTTGGCGTCTTCACTGGACGAAGGAGCATTAATATCGATGTTTGAGGTGGCTGTACCAGGACAATTTGTCTTCGAATCCAACATTTTATTGACAACCTCATCAAGAGTGGGCTGACGAGAAGTGAGAAGATAATCTAGACTTGATGGTCCGCTCAAAATCAACTCGTTTTTTCTCGCGAAATTTGCATTCGGGATTTCGCGGCCTGGCGGTAGGTTAACGTTCATTATCTTGGAGACTTTGCGAACTTCACTCTGTCCACTAATCTTTCTGGAAGCTTCGGAGCTGGTAGATACCCTATCGCGGGGAAACTTCTCGCATCTTTCGATATCTAACAACTCTACTCGGTCAGAAGCCACGTTGCTTGGACTTTCTCTAGTCTCTGAGAGAGCACTCATCACTCTGTGCCCCAGCTCTCTCTTCGCATTATTCATGAAAGATCGAGTGGGAGTGGAGTATTTTGACGGTGTTGCACTTGGTCCAATGGCTTCCATTGCCGAGCCAGGCGGACTTGTCTGGGCAGTATTCGGCCGCACACAAACGCCTGCACGACCATATTCAGGATCCCACATTCCCTTGTGAAGCTCTTCGGGTGTTGGGCAGTATGCCAAAGTTGCCGGCTTTCCTCCCACTGAGACGAATACGCTATGGTCAATCTTCCAGCTAGGTTGGTGGGCAATATTCGAGTTGCACGATTCGCAGTATGGAATAGCGCTAGGACTTATCTGTGGCTGAGCAAATTGTCTTCGTGCCTGCTCTTCTCTGTACGCAACGAGTGCTTGGGTAGGCACGACTGGCGCTTGAATTGTTGCAGTATGCGGAGCGTGTGGATTGGTGAAGTCTTCCTACAGCCCTGTTAGAAGGATAAGGAGCACGTAATGGCTTATCGAGCACTTGCCTTTCTACGAAGATGTTCGTGCTTCCATCTTTGAAAAACAGAAGCTGGAAATGGCGGCGGCTCTTCAACTTCGATCAGTTCCTCCAATACTCCCAGGGCCAAGTCAACATTCTCATCGCCAAATCTCTCTTGGAGTCGAGGATGCAATATGCGCAATCCATCTTTATATGGAAAGTTTCGAGGCACTAAATGGTTTCAAAATTAGTATACTAGGTAGATTGAACAGAAGAAAATCAGACGACCAAAATTGAGTATTGTTTGCCAGCTCAGAAAGTCTGCTCGGGTTTCTCTGAAGACTGAAACTCGAGCCTTTCAAAATGGATGGGTACAAAGGTGTAAGATGTCGGATTGCATTGCTTACCATCTGAACAAAGTCGGATTAAATAGTTACGACATTCTAGAAATTGTCAATTAGGATTTATAAATTATTAGGATGAAAACACTCTACTCACTCTCTTCGCCCCAACCTTCTCGAGAGAGGTTATGCATTCCTGATTGCTTCCGTGGATTTTCTATCTCCACAGGAAGATGATAATTGCCCAGGATTGGGTGTATCATGTCACCATTGTCATATCCTGATGGACTATCCCCTTCGATGGAATTAGTCTTCATCATTTCATTTCCATGGACATCAGATAGAGTATTAACTGGAAAGTTTCTGACAATGTCAAACCAGCAATTATACTAAGTGAACAGTACGAATATAGTGACAATTGCTGCCAAAACAAAATCGCAAAAAGACAATGGTTTTTAGTGAACAAGACCAGTGAATTATACTGGCTGAAAGAAAGGTACCAAGTAATTGTAACGTCCTGTTGTTTTTACTGGTTGGAAGGATGGAACAAATTTCATCACAAATGAGGAAGAGGGAGTGTAAGTTGAAGAAACCGATGAGAGTGCCTAAGAAAACCTCTTAAATGCGGTGGTATCGTGTCTGTCGATCTATGATACTATGGTTCAAGAAAAAATAAAGAATTTTATAATGTGTAGATATTCTGACAGTTCGAAGAAGAGAAAGGAGTAAAGGTAGTAAGTGAAGGCAGTAAGTAAGAAATCGGCTGGTTGTTTTGTTGTTGTCCGACAAAGTCGAAAGTGAATCTCTTCGGTTGTTGAAATAATTTATATTGCCTTGAATAACTCCTAGTGCTGCCACTGTGAAGTGAGAAATTGAAGACGAATAATGGTGCATATTGCGCAATATCTCATCTAAAGGCCTTTATTTAAGAGTTTCCATCTGTTTATCATCTTTTGACAGAGGCGACTTGAAAACCCTTCCATCGTACGATATCCTCTCTCAAGTGAAGGAATTGCAATAATTGAGGAAGGCGCGATTATCTTTCAACTCAACATACTACTACCAATAACAAAGATTGGAGAACATGCATCTCATTTGAGGAACGATCATGAAGTGAAGTCTGAAGATGGAGATAAATTCCCACCATAACATAAGTGCTGGTGGTGATAAGAGACCAATCACCATGGCCAGCCAATTCTCTTGAGTGTTTGGGTACCATGAGATCTTTTGATTGAGAGTTTGGGAGGTTTACAACACAAATTCATCCTCTAAGGTCCGTCATTTGGTCATCAGATTGACAAAGCCTACTGCAAATACCCCTCTTGAACTCATCTTACTCCATTTGCCATGATTGGTGTGGGAACTTCATCTTGTGTGTCTACCAAGAAAAAAGTTGCTTTCAATATTCAAATTTAATCCGGACAACTTGCAGAGTACGGCATTGATGCATGCACCTAATGATATATTTGAGATCATATCAGAAGTATGGTATGGTACTATGCTTCTACGTTGCAATTCTGGTTCCATAATACCATACAAAGAAGTTTTGCATAGTAGATACGGAGTAATACCCATTGCATAGTTTCCTTGGGCCCTTCAAAGCCATGCTTGCCCTTCGTAAGAGGTTAAGAGCACAGTTCACATTCTGAGCTCCGCCGGTAAAACATGAGAGTTGTATCAGCTATCGCGAGTGCGTCCGATGTCTAAGATTGTCGGGAGTCAGTCGAGTTGAGAGCTGCCCCTCAGCTAGGAACTCTTATATTACCCACGTGAAAAATCAAGTCGTCTGTGTTGAGTTCATTTTCACTGGTGCCCAATTTCGTCTTAGTGAACATCATTCTTCTCTCAATGCGCCTCTGGAGTCTCTTAGACCTCTTTTCTGTCGTGAGGTTCGGGTACAGAGTTGCCGTTCATATAAAGATGACCAGCTTCAAGAGAATTGATGAAAAATATAGCAGCAAACAGCATTTCGTCATGGACTTTGCATTTTGCTTTGCCAATGATCATGGTTCCGTGTCCATGACGTACTGAACACATTGGGTATCTCCACCACGAAATGGGATATTGCCCGAGTTTCGTGTATTCTGATAATTCCCGGAATCTCGCTTGCAACGGTTCTTGTATGATAGTTCTCCTACCGATAGTAAATCATTAAGGCCAATCGACCTTTGATTGATTCTTGCGGGTGATGGTCGTTCTTACATTTTGTCACATGATTTACCGAAAGTTCGCCGAGCTTACTTAATGCTACGAGCAGCCGTTTTCCAGTAAATACATTGGGAAGCTTGGCCCCAGTCGTCCACTTCTTTAAACCAAGCTTAAAACTAACCTAGCAGCTACCGAATTTCGAAGCCGATACGAGTTGCAATTCATGACAATCAATACGAGTGATATGATTGGCTCACTCTCCACCTTCAACTACCCTTCCCCGCATTATTTCCAAGTAGAACTTGCCGTGGGCTTTCCCGTTACTATTTCATACCTTTCTGACACTCCTTTCTAGCTTTAAATGCTCTTCGGGATTAGATCAAGGTAGTCAATCGAGCTTTAGGATGGATCAATGGCGCTCGAATGAAATGCCGTTCGAAGTTTCCGACCTCAACATGTAGTTCACAGCAATTTGATATTTTTTATTAAAGTCTCACGTTTCCCTTCTGTTTCCTGTTGCATTTTCATAACCATTCTACTCTTCTTGTCATCTTGCTTTCATCAAGCTCCCTTTCTGTTTAGTCAATTTTTTTGAATTCCTCGCTCTTAGCTATACAGTCACAACAATGGAGAAAAATGTGGCACCCCAGGAGAACATTGGAAATACTGGAAGGGTAGTGGAGAAGTTTGATATTGTAATCGTCGGTGCTGGGCCGGTAGGGTTACTGCTTTCAACCTGCCTTGCACGTTGGGGTTACAAGATCAAGCACATCGATAACAGATCGGAGCCAACCAAAACCGGAAGAGCAGATGGTATCCAACCTCGGTCCTTGGATCTATTACGGAACATGGGCTTGAAGCCTGCCATCATGGCATATGAACCTGCGAAGGTCTATGAAGTCGCATTCTGGGATCCAACTTCGGGCGGAAAGGGCATACACAGAACCGGAACATGGGCGAGTTGTCCTAGCTTTATTGACGCCAGATACCCTTTCACAACCTTGTTACATCAAGGAATGATTGAAAGGGTTTTCATTGCAGATCTAGAGAAGCATAATGTTCATATGCAGAGACCTTGGACGATAACAGGCTTCAAGACAGATGAGAATGAAGATCCCGACTATCCAGTAGAGGTCAATTTAGCTCAAGTTGAAGGTAGCGTGAAGGAGACAGTTAGGGCTAAATATCTATTTGGTGGCGAAGGAGCTAGATCATTTGTGCGACAGCAATTGAATATTGGTATCAAACACAAGGATCCGATCGCACATGTATGGGGTGTTATGGATGGGGTTGTCCAGACGGACTTTCCTGATATAAAGGTAAGCAATCTTGTCCTATGCACATCATTATAAGCTACTAATCACTGATAAATTGTCAGATGAAATGTACTATTCACTCAGATTTTGGATCTATCATGGTCATTCCTCGAGAAAATAACATGGTTCGTCTTTACATACAAATTGCGTCTTCGACCGATAAGGACTGGAATCCCAGAAAAACCGCGACGGAAGAAGAAGTGCAGGCATCTGCAAAGAAGATACTACAACCGTACAACATTGAATGGGAACGTGTGGAATGGTACTCTGTGTATCCAATTGGTCAAGGAATTGCGGAAAAGTATACTCTTGATCATAGAGTATTCATGGGCGGTGATGCCTGCCATACACATAGTGTAAGTCATATCCGGCACTCCCATCTCAACACCCGCTAACAAAAAGCAGCCAAAAGCTGGACAGGGAATGAACACAGCCTTCTTGGATGCCCAAAATCTTGCGTGGAAAATTCACCATGTCGAATCAGGATTCGCCGATCGATCTATTCTGCATTCATACGAGGCCGAGAGAAAGAAGGTTGCTGAAAATCTTTTGGACTTCGATGCAAAATATGCAGCTCTATTCTCACAAAAGGCGCCAGCTACTAAGGATGTAGAGGCAGCTACACAACGAGGAGCAGAGCACACAAACGTCGACGAAGAGGAAAACGAATTCATCAAAACATTCAAAGAGTCCTGTGAATTTACCAGTGGCTATGGAGTGGCATATAATCCAAATTCTTTGAACTGGTCATCGTCTCATCCAGCACAATCCAGCGCCATAAATCCAAAGGGCAATAAGCTCCGAACCGGCCGTATTCTCACCAATTCCAACGTCACACGAGTCACGGATGCCAATGTCGTTCATCTCGAGCAAGAGATTCCGGTCAATGGTTCATTCCGAGTATACGTTTTTGCTGGAAAGCCTGCAACTACCAAGCAAGCACTAGATGATTTTGCACAAAACCTTACCAAGAAGAATTCATTCCTTTCCACATATTTACGATCAGATGTCGATAAGGTATCCTATCACGAGCGTCACAACCCTCACAGTCATTTCTTCACCTTCTGTACGATTTTCGCGGAGAAGAGGCAGAACATTGAGATTGCACGAGACGTTCCAAAGATCTTGGCTAGATATAGCGATCACGTCTATGCAGATGACATCTGGGATCGTATAGTGCCCGATGCGAAGGCTTCGAGTCATAGCAAAATGGGATTGGATGAAGAAAGAGGAGGCGTGGTTGTTGTTAGACCGGATGGATATGTAGGAATTGTTGTGGCTTTGGAAGCAGGTAGTGTCACAGTGGACGCGCTGAATAAGTATTTTGGAGCCTTCTGTTCGAAGAAGCTCGGGGAATCGAGGCCATCTCTGTAAAATCGATGGGGTCAAGACCTAGTATGCATTGTATGATTTGATACCAATGATGTATGGAATTGGATTGGATTGGAGTTTGGCGAAAGCGTGTATTATTATTATACTTAGCAATTAGGCAGTTAATGAATATACCAACAGATGAATGAACCACCTTAAGACTGCATACAAATGTAATGATTTAGTATTGATCATTTTGATAATTGATATATATTTAATGAGTGTACTTATAAAATGTAAGATCTTACCTATCTTTGTTATTGTTTTCAATTAGCACTCACGAGGCCTGAACCCAGCTATAACCAGCCCTTGCTTTTGATTCCGGCACCAACAACTCTCATCCAATCAAAAAGCTTTGTCCTCCTCCAAACCTTAAGTTCCATATCCCGTACATTCACTAGGTAGGGTAAGGTAAGGTACCTAGTACTTATTTCTCCATTTCTTCTTTCATCATTGATTTGCCGCAACTCTCACAACCATCACTCTTCCAATAAACCGCAACTACATGCAATCTTTCCCAAATTGCAGCCCACTTGAAGGAACAGCACATCAACTATCAACAATCAACATCAATCAGTAAGACTCCAAAACCAGTTGAGAACATTACTTCTACGTACTTCTCAATGTTGGGCGATCCCAGCAATAAAGGAATTTCGCTTTTCCGTCATGACCAGTCTTAAGCGCAAAGCTAGTCAAGAGTTAACTCACAATTCGATAGAGGTTATTGAGGTATGTCCAGACCCTCAAAGCCTTATTAGCTTAGGGCTTTCAAGGAGATAGGAGCTGATATTTTGGTAAGCCGATTCACGGGGACGAAATGTTCGAGACTATATTGGGTTGGTTTTGGGGCGCCGTGGAATGGTTTCGTAGAAGGGTCGATCCATTATATACAGACATGAGCTACAGCAACATTGATGGTGAGTAGTACTGTCGTATTCATATTATTCACTGAACTCACTAAAACCTTTTATACAGTAGTCGCAGACGAACATATCCAGAGGGCAGAAGCGAGAGAAGATGGGTCAACTGCGGTCAAGCGGCAGAGAAATAAATCAAGAAGCGACAAGCACCGGAGAACCTCATCATGTCAACGAAGGACACCATCAACAAATATGGACAAATCAAAGAGCTTGTCGGAAGAAGAGCTGAGGGCAGAGACCGATGCGCAATGGATTCCACCAGCCTTCGGTGCTCCTACGAAAACGGTAGAACGAGAGGTTATAGTAATTTCGGATGATGATGAGGGGGAAAATGAAGAAGAAAGACCAAAGTCGATAGCCGATACGCTACGGACACCACGATCACGCAAAGCTCCCAGTATACGCCTCCAATCGATGAGAGACTTGAGGCGCTCATCCACGGCCACGGTCACTGTTGAGAATTCTTTGAACGACCGTTTGGCCACAATATTAACTTTTGGTGATGATGAGCAAGACGATAAATCTGGACCCTCGCCGCTTGCTATCTCGACACGAGCTCAAGAAAAACACAAGAAGGAACGTGAAGCGCAAGAACTCAAGCAAAAGCAAGAGAAGATTCGAATTGCAAAGGAACGCAGACTGACACGACGAGATCCATCGAACCGGTTAGTACATGCGTTGGACGATAAATGGGAGGACATTGTTCGTGAAGCTCTGGATCGCGCTCGAAATAATGGGAATCTGCCAATCACCCAATCGCAGGGTGGCACTCCGTTACATTACAAAGACTTTGGAACTCTACTGGGCAGAAATTCATGGCTCAACGATGAGATTATTAACACTTATATTGAATGGGTCGTGGAAGCTGCAAACGAATTCGCGAAAGAAGAGGCAAAGGATTTCGGGGAGCCTGTGGGGAAAGTGCCAAAATTTATAGCACATAACAGCTTCTTTTACGAAAACTTAGATAAGAAAGGCCCGAGCAGTACACAACGTCTGATGGGTAGGAAGAAAGCTCCAGGAGTCTCGTTGCTTCAGGTTGACACGGTGTTTGTTCCTATCTGCAGAGGTAGTCATTGGACTGTTGGAGTTGTACGACCCATGGCTAGAACTATTGAGTATTTCGATAGTTTGCAAGGGTCTCCAAAAACATTCATCAAACTAATGCGAGGGTGGTTGAAATTTCAACTCGGTGCGGATTACAAAGAAGATGAATGGAAGACCCCAAACACTGGATGCACTCGACAAATGAATGGTTATGATTGTGGAGTATTTGTCTGTACAAATTCTCTTTGCGTTGCTCTGGGCGTCAATACTGACTGTTATAATGGGACGGATATGACGACCATGAGAAGGAATATCGCTGCGCTCTTAATTAACAAAGGTTTTCAAGGAGATTTCGCTTGGGGCCGGGGAGTTTTTTAAATTTGTTTCGTGTTTTTGGGACAGGCGTTTTTTTTTAGCAAGGACAAAGGAACGATACCCATTATATTATGTGTTGTATAAAAAATGGCAGGTTGCCGGAAGGGTGTTAAAGATGCATTTTGAAAGATGGAGTCTTGGTCAAGAAAGTGGAAAGGGAAGGGGAAAGAAAAGCCGAGGGCAACGAACCTCATTGGATGGATGATATGAGCTCGGGGTGATGACCCCGTATGATTGACACGAACACATGCAGAAGATGGCATGGTCTATTCCATCTGATAGAGCCTTGTACCTGCTTACTTATACTTATACTAGTCGGTTGACTCGCACATACCTAGTAATACTGGGTCGGGAAATCCAAAATTATACAATAATTCGAAACTTGAATAATCACAAAGCACATTCATGATACCTAGGTACCCAACAATGTGAATCCCGTATATCAACATAACCTGTGGCTCATGGCTCATGGCTATTACCAGAATCATACCACAAACCAACATTCATGAATACATACCCCGGTTAAAATGCTAACTCCCCCACAAACTGTAGTTCATCCTTCTAGAATCCCCACTAATCTCTTAATAAACCGAAACCCGCTGCTAACCTCGATCCTACAATCTGCAAGTCGTCACTTACTACTCACCTTGTTTGCAGCATAACCCAACCTCTACCTTTGTGACTGTCAATCAAACATACATAGAAGAAAGTTTCAAATCTTGTACATAGAGACGCAAAACAAGTTTAAATTTGTTTTCATGCGAATGATAGAGGGCAAGCCTCTAAGATAAGATGGCGATGGCCAAGAAGGCACGGCAGAGAATAAGTTACGGTATGTCAACAGCCCCTGATTTCGTTGTGTGTGAAGGCCTCGCATCGATTCTCCGTATGGGATATAGGAAAGAACAAAATGTTATTCAGAAGCTAATTAATTGATCTGCGCGATTATAGTCTTACCACTTGCGAATTCTCCGGGCGGACATAGATTGGGTGTGAATGGTTTGGCCGTGGATAGTGAGCAATCAATTTTGTGAGTCCTGTGGCTTTTGTGTTGCGGTTTTACTTCTTTGGTCATATGTTAGTGAAGTTCTTTAAGAGAAGAGCTTTGGGTAGAGATGGGCGCATGGGTTAACGAGACAAAGATACTCAGGAGGCCGAGACGGTGCTATTTGCGCCTGGGATCTAAATTTGGATCTGCGACCGAAAGAACCGTCCACCAATAATCCATTCGACGATCCGCCTTCTTCCGAATCTAAACCAAAGTCTGCGACCACCTTCAGAGCGCAAACTCAAGCTCACACGCATTGGGTTAATGATATAGTACTTGCGAAAAATAACACAGCGCTGGTGAGCGCATCGAGCGATTTGACTGTGAGGGTCTGGAGACCTTTGGAGAAGGACAGTGAGCCAGTGACAATTGGACAGCATGCGGATTATGTCAAATGCCTCGCCAGTCCTGGCAATACCGCCAATTGGGTTGCTTCGGGTGGTCTGGACCGACGAATTTGTCTCTGGGATTTGAATGGAGGCGGAAAACAACTCGAAATTGAAGTCGGCGATGAAGATACTTCTGAAAAGGGATCGGTATATGCGTTGAGTACGGGAAGCAACATACTGGCAGCTGGAGGACCAGAATCGATCGTGCGCTTATGGGATTCGAGGACGGGGAAGAGAATCACAAAGTTTGTGGGCCATACGGATAATGTTAGGGATATATTGATTAATGAAGCGGGCGATATGATTATGACAGCGAGCTCGGATCAGACAGTCAAAGTGTGGAGTATGACGGCTGGAAGATGTATGCATACACTCACGATGCACAATGATAGTGTTTGGTCGCTGTTTTCTGAGGATCCATCGCTTGGCGTTTTTTACAGTAGTGATCGCTCTGGATTGGTAGCCAAAACAGACATCAGAGGTACACTAGGAGAACTAGACGATGGAGTTTCGCTGGCGCTGGCGCAAGAAAATGATGGTGTTACTAGAGTTATTGCTTCCGGGGAGCATATCTGGACGGCAACATCAAGTTCCTCTATTAATCGCTGGGCAGATGTCGATACCGGATCAGATATGCAATTCCCAGAAGCCTATCAGCGTCATCGTGCCAGTAGCTCTGCGTCAAAACCTAGGGCGGCTTCATCTCCTGTCACTAATGGGCAACCTAAGAAAGAGATTCCTCTCAAATCTATTTTGAGGATTTCAAATACGGCAAGCTTTCCGGCGCCAGCCATAAGAGATTCGGATTCTGTCACCAATTTCTCTGTAGTCAATGGTGGTGGGAAAGCATCCGAGCCAATTGTGGATCAGGATTTGGGGGTGATTATTCCAATTCATACATTACCAGAAGAAACTATCGAGGGGCAACATGGTCTAGTGAAGCACAAGCTTTTGAATGATCGTAGGAGGGTTTTGACTTTAGATACTGCTGGAGATGTGCTATTATGGGATCTTCTCAAAGTAGGCAAACTTTTAACAAATGGCTTTAGACTGAAGACTAATTATAAAATAGTGCATGCCTGTCAAATCTTTCGGAAAATGTCATCTCGAAGATGTAGAGCCGGAAGTGAATACAATGGAAGCCGTGGCGCCTTGGTGTTCATTGGACACTAGAACTGGTCGATTGGCTGTTGTTTTAGAGGAGTATAATTGTTTCGATGCGGA